GGTTGTCTAGTCCACGAAAGTAAAAGCCTATTTAAATTACAGTGTTTCTGTATGCTGGTTTGTGTGTTCTCCAAAACAACTCTCACAATGCTTTGCTGAACGTACTCGCTCTCCCAACGTGGAGCTTACTTAACAAGGTTAATCTTCAATCGTCATTTTGTTCATTATTTTGGTTTCTACAACTTCTATTTTTTTTTCAGGGACTAGACAACCTATGCCCCATTAGGTGTTCATTTCAGAGATATTTCCTTACCTAAACAGAGAAACAGAATGACCATGGGTGGGCAAAAAAGCAGTGGGAGTGGAAACGACTATACTTTCTGCCAGCTTCCCCACTGAGTTTTTTTTATGGGAAGCTGCCAGGGAGCCTCAAAAACCAACCTACCTTCCTTCTTCCCTCCCTTCCTCCCTTCCTTTCCCTTCCTTTCCCTTCCCTTCTAGCAGGAAGCTTAGTGGGGGCTGCTGGGTGAGGGAAGATGCAGAGAGTTGGGAGACTGTCTGGGAAACTGAATTGGAATACTGAAAATGAAGATCATATGATTGCAGCATCAGCCTACCAGCACAGCAGCAACCAGTAGCACTAAGCAGCCATAACACTCCCTAATTTAATCTTCTTGGAGTCATAGTTCCCAGATTTGGACACATTCTATAAATTAGCCCATTTGAAGTGCCTTGGTTCAAAAACTATGATGGGCCATTTTACCCAGTTGAAGGGCACGACAGTAATATATACTGTAGATACCGTAGCTGTAAATGAGACTATGCCATTTGCAGGTAACCATTTAGGAAAAGCAGTCTTCCTATAGGTCAAATACTGGAAGTAAATGTTATGTAAGCTTCTGAGTATAAGCCTGGATATTATCAGATCCAAAACCAAGAACAGCATGTGACAATTCTTCAGATTTTTTATTGTTTCATACTATAGAGTATTGGCATACTAAGGATCCCACAATCTGCTTGTACAATATATTCTGTGAACTATTAGGGAGATACTGTATTCTCCCTCTTTCTCCCACACATAGCAGCTGGGTTGGGTCACCTCTTATTTCTCTAGAATGCACCTTCTCCCTTCTGGGGATCCACCACATTGCTATAGTCCAGAGATGTCAAACTCAAGGCTTGCGGACCGCATCCGGCCCTCAAGTGCTTAAATCATGGGACTGGCCTGAAAATAGCAAAGAACCATCCCGCTCTGCCTCTGGCAGCCAAAACGGAGCACGGGGAGCTGTGTGTGGGTCCCCCGCATCCTGTTTTTTGGCTGGTTGGCCTCCTACAGTACTCTGCTGGCAAAAATGGGGCACGTTTTGGCTGACAGAGTGGTGCAGGAGACTGTCCAGGCCAAAAGTAGGGCTAGGCTGGATGGAGACCCTCTGCTTCAAGCATGTCCCCCTTCCCGCCGATCTCCCAAATCCTCAATGGAAGCATCTTTGGGATGCTGGGAATAGATTCTTGCTTTGGTCTGCTTTTTTAAAATTCTTAGAATTTTAAATCAGAATCATGTTTTGGGTCTTAAAGTTTAAATTTAATCTGGGGAAAAATGCTATGCTTAGCATACAATTTTGAGCATGAAGCAATGTAAAGGCACCAACCCACGAGAACGCCTCTAATGGCAAGGACTAAGACAAAAGAGATGGCATTGATCTGTGTCATCCACCACATCTATGAATTTTTACACACAGTAAAAATTTCCCCAATAAGTTTGAGGTTCTTCTAGTTGGCATATTAAACAGACTGGCAAGTAATGGTAGAGTAATGGTCTTGGCCATCAGCAGTTGAGTGTGGATATAAGGCAACTGGGTTTATAGGCATAATATCGAATGGAAGGCATTAGCCAGATATTAAAAATACAGATTCTGGGGGAGGGAATGCAACCTTTAAGGAATGTTACTATGCTATCTCCTTACACATGTTCCCCTGCTAAGAATCTACATATTTTAAGAGGTGGAATGCAAGCCAACCCTCCAGAAAGGCAAGAAAAACCAGAGATCCTAGGATGTGGGGTTTGGTGCCTGTAAAGGAACTGTATTAATAAGGAAAAGGAGTGTGCTTTCCTGCAGATTATTTTTTAATGTTTTTAAATGGTCTTTATAATGGTAGTTCTTGGTTTTTGGTTAGTTGTTTTTGTGTTCTTTTAACTTTGTATACCATTCAGATAAGTATTTAAATAAATGAGAATATGTGAACCATGAATCTCCAATATGTTGTGGTTACAAGGTAAATGCCAAAGTGACATGAAACTTTAGACCATGTAATTGTCTATAGACATTTTTAAAAATGGAGTATCTGATATCCACACAGGTAATTCTGAAAAATGTCAGCCAATGTAGAATGTGAAAAAGTTTTAAAACAAATTGTTTGAAGAAGTCACAAGAAGACCCAATTCTCAGAATATTAAAAGAAAAAACTGCTTCCCAAAACAAGAGTGAAAAAATGGTCATAAGTCACTTTTCTCAGTGCCATTGTAACTTGGAAGAGTCACTAAATAAATGGTTGGATGTAGAGGAGTACCTGTATACCTTTTTATGTCATTTTCTCCCCCAAACAACCTCTTTCTCATGTTTGACACTTTCTCGGCTGATGCATCCTCTCTCATGTCCTCTGTTCTATGAGGAACTCTGTACTGCTTTAAAATCCACAACTCTGTTCGAGAAGTAAAATATAAAATATTACTATACTGAGGATAGTAATCTTAATGAGTGAATTGCCTCCTGCTTTCTCTTTGCTTAAATAAGCATTCAGTGAACTTGCTTCATTGGTGTTAAAAGGATATTTCTCTGTAGAGCTGAACTGCAGTAATGCTAAAGCCTCCATATGTATTTAAGGAATTTCCCCATATTTTATTGCATTAGTGTCCTCTAGGCTTTGAGAAAGCAAAGCCAAAACTGTTGTGCATTTAATTAATTTTAGAAATGAGGTCAAGAGGGAGCTTAACAGGGATGCAATATCCCCCAGCCTTCCAAATGAAAAGAGTCTCTTTCAAGTCATGACCAGTCATTTTTAGTAACTTATCCAACATATTTTCTCTTTCCTTTTGATCTAGAGCTGAAATAGAATACAGGGCATATTGCCAGATGGCAAAATCAAAGGAAATCCAACTGGATGAGAGGGATGATGCTTGGGAGCTTAAGAAAGAAGAACTTTTGAAAAATAAACCCTTCTCTCCAAAGAAACATGAAACACAAGATGCACGGAAAGGATGGTGTGCTAATTCCTTCAAGAAAACTTATTGGGTATCCTACGGAGAAATATAATAAAAGAAATACATATTTAATTTTATATGTGGTAACAGCAATGAGAATTGTGTATGCACAAAACTGGAAAAATGAAAATATACCTATAGTGGAAAATGAAATAAAGAAAATACTAGAATGTGCTGAAATTGATAGATTAACAATGAAAATTAAGGATAAGAAGGAAACAGAATAATTTTTAACTTGGGAATTATTTTACCAATGGTTAAAAAATAGAAGTAGAAGTTAAAAATTTAGAATTAAGGAGGATATGTAAATAAAAATGAAGTAAATATGTAATTAAATAATGAATATTGAATAATGAGGATGTAAACATTATAATGAATAGACTTGGATGATAATCTGATGGTTATATGATGTTTATAATGCTTGATATTAACTAATTATAGACAAAACCAAACAGAATGTTTAATTAAATAACAAAAAATGTTTAATAAGGATATGTGAAGAATATGGTGAATAGATTTTGAGAATAATAGTTATAGCTATTGTGTGTATAAGATTTTTTTTTATTTAAAAGAGATTATATCCAGTCAGTACACTGCTATTGTGGATATAGAAATTTTATATATAACAAAGAAAATTGCATAATAAAAAATAATATTAAAAGAAAGAAAAAAGTGTGATGGGTGCTTTAACTATAAAGGTTGTCACCAACTGTTACAGAATAGATAGAAATTGAACAGGTTTATTATACATCAATGGGGCTTTTCTGACACATCAAAGTCACAGTGGCTTCTGTAGACATTCCCATGCATATAAAAAAGGGAAGGGGAAGTTGTATATCAAGGACAGAAACTAGGAGCAGGCAGAACATGTACCTGAAGATTCACTTGAGTGAAGTCAATCTTGGTGCAGTAGACTTTTCATGGGAAGCAGATAATTTCCAAGGTACACATTAGAGACTGGATTGACAACTTTCTATGTTTGACATAAATATATGAAAGGTTTAGCTGGAGGAGGGGGGAGGCACCAGTTTATAGGAGACAATGCCTTGTCAGAAATCAGCCTGTCCTGTTTGAATATCTTGGATGGGACTGTTGAGTTTTCTACACCTCACTAGGGCATAAGACCAGGTAACAGCCTAGCCTGGTGCCTTAACCACCAGACCAATGACAACCTCAGCAGCTAAGAAATCCAAGCATTTTATGGTTAACCATAAAGGACTGCTTGTTGTTGAAAATTTGCCACTTTGCCCCTGCCTTTTTAGCAATAGCAATAGCAATAGCAATAGCAGTAGACTTATATACCACTTCATAGGCCTTTCAGGCCTCTCTAAGCGGTTTACATAGGCCTTTCAGGCCTCTCTAAGCGGTTGCCCCCAACAATCTGGGTCCTCATTTTACCCACCTCGGAAGGATGGAAGGCTGAGTCAACCCTGAGCCGGTGAGATTTGAACCGCTGACCTGCTGATCTAGCAGTAGCCTGCAGTGCTGCATTTAACCACTGCGCCACCTTGGCTCTTCCCTTTTTGGGGGGAGTTGGTGGGTTATTATTTATGATGGTAATAGGTTTCACACAGCCTGGCTTTTTTCACTATGGAAATAAATTATTGTATTACATATTACTTTTTATTACCATGTGTGTATGTATTCAATTTACAGAATTTTGCCCAACTCAGTTTGGCATCCATCGCACTCATTTATCAAATTTTTCCCTCAATCTAGTGCAGGGGTCTCCAACTTTGGCAACTTTAAGACTTGTGGACTTCCAACTCCCAGAGTTCCTCAGCCAATTTTGCTCTGGGAGTTGAAGTCCACAAGTCTTAAAGCTGAGGTTGGATTAGAGCATGGCTCTTTCCAATTCCATTCCAACAGCTCATCCGAAACCTAGAAATATTTACCCACTTGTGAGTTAACAATCAGATAAGAATCGCCACTTCATAACATTCTTCTGGCATTCACTGACTATTGATTTGATTGCTTTTTCTTTTCATTACTAAATGAAACAGAGAATAAGCTTTATTTTTAAGAGAAATTGTCTTGGGTGAACATCAGCTTTGAATGACATTACATTTCTGCCATCTTGCTTTTGTAAACTCAACCAAATCTTCATTATTTGTCCTGATCCTACATTTCAACATGATTCTTCTGAACTTGAATTTGATTTTGTGTCTCAGATCAGATCAAATAGAGAGGATATATATTGGCTAGATTGCTTACACATATAATCATAAAAGAAATCCACCATGACTCTGTGGATAGTAACTGGTTATTTTGCTCTCACCCAAAGCCATGACATGCTAATCACAAGCATCCAGCTTGTATTTAGTTTCCTCTTAAGAATGTAATTGGATCAGATCAAAGTTAAGTTACACAATACAGAAGGTGACTGAGGGATCTTCCATCTCCTGTCATCGAATTGAGTTGCTACATAACTTTGAACGTTGCATCCAGTTTTGATCACAATACAAAAAAATGTTGAGACTCTAGAAAGAGTGAAGAGAACAACAGCAAAGATGATTATGGGACTGGAAGTTAAACCATATGATGAACAGTTGCTGGAATTTGGTATTTCTAATCTAATGAAGATAAATATTAGAGGTGACATGATAGCAGTCTTCCAATATTTGAGAGTTAAGGGATTGACTTATTCTCCAAAGCACCTGAGGGCAAGACAAGATGTAATGGGTGGAAGAGAGATCCAACCTAGAACTAAGGAGATGTTGCTTGACAGTGAGGACCAGTGGTGGGTTGTTCCTAGTTCAGCCCACTTTGGCTGAACGATAGTAGGGGTGGCAGGAGGCTCCGCCCATCTGGCCGGATGCTTCTGTGCATGTGCAGAAGCATCGCCAGTGCATGTGGGAGCACACACAAACCAGTAGTGAAAAATTGGCAACCCACCATTGGTGAGGACAATTAACCAGTGGAACTGCTTGCCTCCAGAATTTTCAGGTGCTGTATCACTGGAGCTTATGAAGAATAGATTGGACAGCCATTTGTCCACAATTGTATAGGATCTCTTGCTTGAGAAGAAGGTTGAACTAGAAGACCTCTGAGGTCTCTTCCATCTCTGTTTTTCTGTATTCTATTTCTCCTGTGCTACCAGCAAAGCTGTTGTTATTTGCCATAGTAACATTGTCAAGCTAGAACTTTGCAAAAAACATGTCAACTTTAAGATGTATAGACTTCAGGTCCCAGAATCCTAATCGGGAATTCTGGGAGTTGCAATCCACACATCCTAAGATTGGCAAGTTTGAGGAATGCTGCTCTGTTGATAAAAGAACCATATCACATGGCTGACTCATATTCAATTTTAATTAATTACTGTTCCAATAACTTTTTACACATACTTGCCAAGCCAGATAAGTTCCATTCTATATCCATTCTATATCCATATCATTCTATAATCATTTTAATTCTGTTTCCTGCTGGTATACACTACACTTGCTTTAATCAGTCTTCAATTTATTATAATTGTCTAATCTATCAAAATTGTTTTGAATCTTATTTCTATCTTCTGGGATACAAGGAATAGTATCCCATCTGTTTTGTGTCCTCAGCAAGACTGATAATTTTTTCATCTATCATTCATAAAAATGTTGAAAAATGCAAGCCTATGGAGATTTTCAATCATCCAGATCATGGTTGCCCAAAGGTGTTTTTCAAAATGTAACTGGACTTTCTTGTTTTTTTTCCTTGAAAGCATTTCACTTCTCATCCAAGAAACCTTTTCAGAGAACTGAATCGAAGAAGCTTCTTGGATGAGAAGTGAAAGGTTTTAAAGGGAAAAAAACCCATGAAAGTCCAGTGGTCTTTTGAAAAGCATATTTGAGAGAGTTTAAGACTAAGACTAAATTCAATATTCTACTCCAATTTGGGGAGGAATAATTGTTTGATAATCAAGAATGTCACTGGATACTTTGTCAAATCAAACACAATATATTAAGACTGCAGCATTCCTTCAATCTACTAAGTAAATTATGTGGAAAAAATATGGGATACAGTTAATCTGGAAAGATAGGTTCACTTCTGGTAATTGTTTTCAAGATGCTTACATATGGCTACCTTTATAATCTGTTCTGGAATTGCCACAAATATATGTAGCTGTTGGACTGAATGGCTTGCAGTTCCTTAGTTCTTATTTCCTCTTCTTTTGAAAGAGAAAGATATTTGCCTATTCCATTCAATTGGCCCTTCATCAGTTCTCTAAGAGTTCCCAGAGATAATGTATAAAGGTTTGGCCAGACCATTTTCTTATTTATTAATACTTCCATGGTTCCATATACCTGGATGCTTTATTCATGAAATTTATGAAAAGTTATTCTTATATATTTCATTACCAAAATGAAACCTCTTTCTAGACCAGCAATAAATCTTTAAATGAGGGAGTAGAAGGGGAACTCATCAAATATGCAGACAACACCAGGCTGACAGGAATAGCCAACTTCCCAGAAGATGGGCTCAAGATCTACATGGATCTTGACATACTTGAACACTGGGCTCTATCTAATAAAATGAAATTCATTGTAGAGAAAAGTAAGGTTTTATACCTAGGCAAGAAAAACCAAATATACAGGTACAGATTAGGTGAAACTTGTCTCAATAGCAGTAACTGCAAGAGAGATCTTGGAGTCCTAGTGGACAATTACTTAAATATGAGCCAGCAGTATGCAGCAGCCCCCAAAAGAGCCAATGCAATCCTAGGCTGGATTAACAGAGTGACAGAATCAAAATCACAAGAAGTGTTAGTACCACTTTATAATTGCCTTGAGAAGACCACACCTAGAATACTGCATCCAGTTTTGGTCACCACAATATAAAAAGGTGTTGAGACTCTGGAAAGAGTACAGAGAAGAGCAGCAAAGATGATTAGGGGACTGGAGGCTAAAACATATGAAGAACAGTTGCAGGAACTGGGTATGTCTATTCTACTGAAAAGAAGGACTAGGGATGACATGATTGTGGTGTTCTAATATTTGAGGGGCTGCCACAAAGAAGAGGGAGCCAAGCTATTTTCCAAAACACCAGAAGGCAAGACAATAAGCAATGGTTGGAAACTAAGCAAGGAGATTAGAAACCTAGAACTAAAGAGAAATTTCCGGGCAGAGGGAACAATAAACAAGTGGACTTATATTGTCTTCAGAAGTTGTGGGTGCTTCATCACTGCAGACTTTTAAAGGGAGACTGGAAGCCATTTGTCTGAAATGATATAGGGTCACCTAATTGAGCAGGGGGTTGGATTAGAAGACCTCCAAGGTCCCTTCCAAAGTCCCTTTATTCTGTTAAATGAACAATACCCTAATCAAGGAACTCCCAATGCAGACAAACAATCTAACAGTAAAGATGAGCCTAATCAAAAACCACCAAGAACATTTCCACCACTAACTGAACAAGTCAGTAGTGTATAAAAAGAGAGAAAACAACACTCTCTCCCAGCACTGATTATGTCACCTAACTTGGTAATGAAAGGTCTTCAAGAAAAAAAACACCAAGTTCAGAGAACACCAAGGTGCCCACCGTTCAACCCTCAGCTACAAATATCTCTTCTGTCAGTTTCAGTATTTCCAGGTAGAGGTATTTATAGAGCAAGAGAATCTTTGTTGTATAAATGTGTTTTGAAGTATTCATTTCTTACAATTGTGCAACTCTGGAATAGCGATGGCCTAATCTAAATTTTTCAGGTTATCTTTAGATATATATGTACATGTAGGCATCCTCTGTATTCTTAAATCCCTAAGGCTTAAAGCATTTGCCTGGTTCACCATTCTTTTAGAGGAATACCCTTTGTGAGTTTCAGCCTGGCTGTTACAGTAACTATCTGAGTGAAAGGTTTATGGGCTCTTTGTTACATTATTCTGTCTTATCCATTGTTCCTCTGAGCTATTGACAAGTTCCATTTTGTTGATTCAAGAAGTTGATGGGGAGTGTATAAATAAAACAATTGTTTAAATTGATTTCCTTTTCAAGAGTATAATTAGGAAACAATAGATGAATTAAATATTAGCTTGTGGTTGCTTAATTCTTAATAATTTACTCTGACACTGCATAAAAAACTGACAATTTATATGTTATTTATGCCATGCCTTCAATCATTCACAGCCACTCCAAAATGTCTTCACCTCGGCTCCTGTGCCTGGTAGCACTCCTGACTGTCTCTTCCACCTTTACGGTATGATACTTTTCCAGATGTTTTGTGACTTGACATAATACTGTTTTATTTTCCTTGCTATTCTAAAAATGTTCAATTGCCATTGCAGATCAGGAGGACAGCAGAACATGAAGGTAAATCAAAACAAACTCAAAAAGAGATAGGTATCTTTTTCTAAGATGGGAAGCATACAATCTGAAGTAATTATCTGTAAAGAAGTGTGTACATATTTCATACTAATGTATGTATTTATTTATCTAGAAGGGTACTCCTTAGATGAAGGAAGACCTAGGCAAGGCATCCTTGAAATCAATGCAGGTAAGCAAATCCATTGGAAAGAAATATTGTACTGTATATTTATGTATATAAATTGGGGGAAAAAACTTACTTGGGATCTACTGATATCAAGAGAAAAGAGTAGGGCTACATACAGAACATCAAAACAAAGAACCAGTCAACATAGCATGTTGGCTTCAGCCATTCTTCATAGTGGGGTCTGGAAGGACTATCTTGTTTGATGTGAAGTTTGAGTACTACTACAGTACTGAATCCGAATGAATTCTGTCACTGCCAAAACAGAAAATTAGAAGCAGCATAAGAGAATGAGGAAATTGGAAATGTTTAGTTTGGAGAAGAAAATTTTGAAGGACCTATGACTGCGTTCTTCAAATTTATGAAGGGATGTCACAGAAAGGAAGATCTGATTTGTTCTCTGAGGATGATTTTAGAGAAACAAAAAAAAATGACATGCTTCCTTTATTTCTTGTTCTCCACTGATCATATCTCCCTCATTCTCACAATTATTTTACTTCATATCCACTACATTAGAGAATGCTCTGAGAGATTGTTTGTGATAAAGAACCTACATCAGTGTATAATGTTAGAGCCGAGGTGGCGCAGTGGTTAGGGTGCAGTACTGAAGGTCACTACAGCTGACTGTTATCTACAGTTCAGTGGTTCTAATCTCACCGGCTCAAGGTTAACTTAGCCTTCCATCCTTCCGAGGTGGGTGAAATGAGGACCCAGACTGTGGGGGCGATATGCTGACTCTGTAAACCGCTTAGAGAGGGCTGAAAGCCCTATGAAGCGGTATATGTCGAACTGCTATTGCTATTGCTATTGCTATTGTTATAATCAGCATAACTAATGACATCCAATCTGTGTGTATTCATTCTGTTGTGTCCAATAAAAAAATGTTCAAGCTAAATGTATATAGCAATGCAGCAAAATCCAGACTGATTTCCATGCCTAGACATGGACATGTTAAGTAGCAAACAGGAAAAAAAAATCCTATCAAATGCTGGCTTTTATCTGTGTCTAAGATTTTGATAACAAAAACCTGTAATAATTTCTTAAATAATGCTTTGCCCTTAACTATTGTTCATTCCAAATTTAGCAACAGGAAAGAAATTCTTTGAAGGTGACATTATCATGCTGGTATGTAAAGTTAATCTACTTTTTATAAAGAGATTAGAAAATAAACTTTTTAAAAATTATAGTTTAATTTTCTTAACAGCTTGACAGAAATGCACTGAGGAACGAATCCTATAGATGGAAACTTCCAATTCCGTACAAAATGGGCAACAGTATAGGTAACAAGACATCTTCTGCTCTAGAACTCTACATTGATCATTAGTTTGATGGCTACAATGGCTTAAGCAGGAAATTCTAATAGAGATCAAATTGAGTGGATCATCTGCCCTCTTCCCCTTGCAACTCCCTATAATTTTTCCTTCAAAGTTCCCTTCTTTTAACTCCAAAGTTCCCTTCTTCTCTAACAAAGCTCACTTCATCTTGGGCTTCAGTTTCAATGTTTCCACACAGCTCTTCCAGATTTCAGGCATTTTAGTAAATAAAGACAAACTCTCCTTGAGTCTGACCCATTAACCTTCATGTAACCTTCCTGACAGCAATATGGAAGAGGTTGCTTTCTTCCAGGATGTTTACAGTCAAGCCCTGATGGAGAGGAAGGAGCATTGAGTGAGAAAGAAGGTTCTAGTAATGAACGATCCAATATTTCTAAATCACATTCATTTCATTTGTCTACTGTCTGGATAAGAATATAAAATATGCATTCTTTTCTTTCAGACCTGAATACCAAGGGTGTCATATTGCAAGCATTTGAGATGTTTCGACTCAAGTCTTGCATTGACTTTAAGCCCTATGAAGGAGAGAAGTCCTATCTCCAATTTGAAAAGCTGGATGGGTAAATTTATTCAAACAGACAAGTTAATGTTATGATAGAAAGTTGTTCCATTTAAATAATTATTGCCCATAGTTTAAGTGCACAAAATGATACTGTACTCCTTCCCTTTATTGAAACCTGGTATAAAGGACAAACTAGGCCTTTGCCCATATTTCAAGGCTGGATCAGGTTGTTTTCTTGATTTCCCTGAAATGCTTTATTACCAAGCAAGAAGTGCATGCCTTGCATGCCTTTCTTGTCATCTGGATATTCTCCACCTATTATTTGCACCACCTGGCATGTTTCCCTTTTTTTCGATCACAGCGTGATGTTTTCGTCGCGCTGTGATGACGTCAAATGCGCGCTTTCGTTGACCGCGATTTTGTCGTCCGTGGTTTTCCCTTTGTGACCCGTCATTTGACGTCATCACAGCACGACGCAAAAAATCACGCTGTGATCGAAAAAAAGGGAAACATGCCAGGTGGTGCAAATAATAGGTGGAGAATATCCAGATGACAAGAAAGGCATGCAAGGCATGCCCTTCTTGCTTGGTAATAAAGCATTTCAGGGAAATCAAGAAAACAACCTGATCCAGCCTTGAAATATGGGCA